GTCAAAAAAGAACACAATGGTCCTCTAGGAGGAGATTCAGGTGATAAGGTGGGGGGGGGTTACCTTGGTTGGTTATTGGCTAATGGTTACACAACCCAAAACATCGTTATGACATCATAAAGTGGACAAAATCTGATCAGCTCATTTTCAGACAGGTTTTTATAGAAATGGATCAGGACAAAAAGAGAGTGAATCTTTTTTCCTGAAACTTTCCGAATCTCTTCACACCGAGGGGACACATGTTGATGTATAAAACACATGAAAAAGTGGATTTTGAATAATAGCTGACCTTTAACATTCACTGTGGGGTGGTGGGGTCTCAGTAGAGCAATAACAAGTGCCGATCAGAGTACAGTGAGGTACCAGGCCGTTGTGTGTCAGGGCATAGCCACAAAACCAGCAGCAGGATTGTGTCCTCATTAAACCATAAAGCCCTGATGTCATTTTCTTGAGGAGAGTTATAAATGGCTGAATTGGTTGTTGAGCTGGTGGAAAGATTACATTATGTAAGGGAGGAGAACTGCTTCACCTGCGGCCTCCTCCAAAGATCTGTAGCAGGAAGCTGAACATGTAGATGATGTCCAGGTAGAGGCTGAGGGTGGCGAAAACATATTCCTCTGGACTTATAGAGTAGCGCTTGTTCCCCAACAGCAACTGTGTGTCAAATGCCAGGAACTGTGAGAGAAAAGAGATAGAGAAGAAGGATATTGAATATATTGTTTTAAAAAAAAACTTCAGCTTGACAATTTCGAAGTTTTCATGATCTGCTTCTCACCAAAGTAAAGAGGATGGCTCCACCAACAGCATACAAGGCATGTAACCAGGGAACCTGTGGAGCAAGGTAAAAAAAAGCTTTACAAAGCGATGTTAAGAAGGACAGCAGGATGCTAATCTGTTTATCTGTGAGGCTAAGCCTTTCTTGTAAATGCACAAACAAATACAGCCAGCAGGATTTACATGTGACCGGGGTTAGTCATCAGTAATCACAGCTATTTTAGACTTTTTTTTTGGAAGGTGCCCTGGAACTTACATATCCAAAAGGTATGGCAATGGAAAGGGTGATGGAACAGAGAAGCATGACTATGCACAGAGAAAACAGGACGCCATGGTAGGAGGTGACGTCAATCTAGAAGAAAGAAAAACGTGATGGATTCATTTTTCTTGTTGGTTATTTAAAATCAGCTTATGGTTTGAGCAGTTATTTCTCACCTTGGTCTGGAAGCTGAACATGGTAACAGAGAGACACACCAGAGATGTGATTCCCATACACAGAACCACTGATTTAGTGTTGTAAAAGCTGCAGGAAGAGAAGGAGTCTTATATTATAGAAATGCTCTGATGAGTTGAAATCAAGGTTTACACACAGCTAAATCACAATATGTATTTACCTCGACATAAATCCCATCATGCTGGCCATGCTCAAAGTCTGAAGGTAAGAGCAAAAAGTATCACAACAATTAAGGGTTATGTTGAGCGTGGGAGTACATATTCAATTATGTTTTCATGATGAAGAATACTCACAAAGAGAACTAGCAAAATGATATTCCAAGGAAACTGCCTCCTGTGTTAGTGAAAAAGAGAATTCACTTTGTCAATGTTAAGTCACAAATGCACACACAGTAGCACCTTCAAATATAATTGTGTTGACACTTTAAATGCAAAGAAAGGTTACCTCAGGTCTCCACAGCAGGACAGTGCAATGTAGGTGGCAAAAAACACGAGACTGTCAAAAAAAGAAAATGGTATATGGTGTTACAAAACAGTAAATAAGTCATCAAAATAGTGACTATAATTTCAGCAATGATGTGTTTTCACTTACTAGGACGCCATGTACAAGCCTGGATGAGTCTGGATGAAATACCTCACAGGTGCGCTGTAGAGACACGATTTCAATGGCTTTCATTTATGTTTTTATAAAATTGTTAAAAAAGAAATAAGTTTCCTAAAAGTATTTACCAAAATGAGAAGAGACTGACAATGGCCACCGTCACAAACAGCTGAACCATGAGGATGGCGTAGACCTTGAGGAAGAAATGCAACGTGTCAAAGCAAAGGAATAGTCGTCATGATAAATTTTATTCTGCTTTCACTTCTTTTATAAATCAATACCTTCCTGATGAAGATCCTCCTGATGGTCTTGTCGTCCCAGGTGAACTGGGCCTCCATGTCATTGTAGCCTGAGGAAACGGGCAAGGAGGAAATGTGAGAAATGATGTTTGTAAAAACTACGGTTGTATCAGACATGGTGTTTTAAAATGATACTGCAGCATTATTCAAACAAATGGAGTTAGGCAGGTTTGACTTCTTCTAACTTCATTTTTAAGCACTTAGATGAGTTAGATGTGTAATATTGTTATAATAAAAAAAATAGTTTAGTTTAGTAATAGTTTCCAAATAAAACACAAGAAAGTAGTACGAGAAAAATAATTTCACTCAAACCAGCATTTACTGTGTGTACTCAGTCTAGGTAGAGCTTGAAGACATCATGTTCCTTTATAATAGTGTTTGTTGATTTGTAAATAATGGAATAGTCCATTATTCCACAGTCCATAAAGAGAGCTTTTACCTGCAGTCACCTCCTGATAACTGGGTGGCTCAACGTCCTCCTCACCCACCTGCTGGGATAGAATTACAGTTTGTCATAAAAATTGTAAGTCTGTTGCATAAAAAGCACTGTTTTTACAGTACATAACATTCTATTAACAGTTTTTGGAAAATATATTGGCTCTCAACCACAAACTGGCACAATCCTAATGTTGCTTTCACGTTCTTAACCTGTATGAAGGTCTATCACATAATAGATTTTACTTTTAAAGGTGCCTGCCAAAAACTTTTCCATCACAGATTTGTCAACAAAACAGCCACCATGTTTGGGTCAAAGGATTAGGATGGATGAGATGGGCCTCCATCTTTTAGTAACCAGCATAGAAACACTATGTGTACTTTATTTCGGTCACTAATTGGTGTATTTAAGTTTATTTCCATTCCTTACACACTTCATGTATATATAATATCCTGCTTTATGTTTTGTTTTGTTTTGTTTACTGTAAATGTGTATTTCAACATGTATATTTTCTACTTTTTTAATGCTATTTTATTTCTATTTGAGATGTTTACATTTTGAATTGTTTATTTCTAGTCTTTTAATTTCTGTAATGTGCAATGCCTTGTCTTTTTATGCTGCCGCAATGCAAACATTTCCCAAATTGAGATCAATTAAGTAAACATTATCTTATTTTATCATCTTACCTTATTTGGCAGCTTAAAGAAATTATACAGATTTGCATTAAAATATTATTATGTTTTTACATTAATCTTTACGCAATGCTTTACGAAGCTGTATTAAAACTATAAAGCTGGAGAGTAATACAACATACCTTTCCCTTCTTCATTATGTTTTCCCTTTTTGCACCTTTTAGATGTTCAGACTTCACAGGTAATATATTGTTCTTTCTTTAATCCAAAATATGAAAATACAGCTCCTCTTGTCGTGTGTTGTGTGGTTTGTGTGGTCCTAAACACGGCGAGACTGTTGAGTGGAATAGCTCTGATTTATCTCCAGCGTGCGGATTACACTGGAGCTTTATGTGGCTGCAAGTGGTTAATCCCTCTCTAACCCTGATCCCACTCCAACCCTATCTTCGGCCTGATGACGTCGCTCTAGAAACGTCCAGGTAGTCCCAAAACACTGAGAGGAAACCAGACCATACCATTGCTGTTGCCAAAGAGAGGTGTTGTTTACGTTTCTCAGTGCTGTCACAAACCTTGTCAGCAGTGTTTCTGACAGTTGATCGTCATGCCAGACAGACTCAGAGGTCTTACACATCTGAATCACACATGCATTACACAACCTGTTCCTCCACTGAAGAGGGAAACAATAAGACCACAGACATAGGGCATATTTCATAATCAGCATATGCAAATTCTTACTGTCGGAGAATAATAATTTGTTATAGATTCTTTTGAAAAGTTGAATTAGTATGCTCATTTGATAATTGAGTATTCAAAAATAAGAATTGTTGGTGAATTTATATATGACATATAAAGATAATGAGTGAATAAACCAAGCTAATTCGGACACTATTGTCTTTTTAAAACTGTAAATAGTATCAGATTCAGTTTGGTATTTGATCCAATGAATGAAAGATCCCCAGATGGCTTCACCTACAGTATGTTCCCCTGATCGCTCCCAATGTAATCCTCTCCATCTCCAGAGTAGTGACAAGATGCTCCAGCCACAGTGTACTTTAGGGATAATATCTTCACTAAACCGAGTTTATGATGTCTGTTTTGTTTGTGTTTTTTTTAACTAATTCATTTTAAGCAAAAGTGATCTTGTTAAGTGACTGCCTGACATAATGTCTTTGTGTAAGACACTGGTTTTGTAACAGCCACCTCAGACTAATGTGATTGGAGTTAAGAACATAATGGAACAAACACATAACCTCATAAATCACTCATCTTTGACCTGTTTTAAAAAGTATTGTTTCATCACTTTATGCTTTGCAAAGAAGACAATTAGAAACAACACCAGCGTGGATCTGAAGAAATGTGATACTTCAAAATTATTTTTATTTCTGTGAGCAATATAATTAAAGAACACAGATTAGAAAAATCACAGATCACATTGAATGATTCCCCTTCCATCAACAGCCAGTTGTTAATTTGATTTACTCGATAAAGTTACAGTAATAGGATATTTAGCAAGATGTATTTTCTTTATTCTAGAGCAAAAGATTGATTAAAACAAAACTTAAAATTGGAATGACATTAATTATATTGCTTGGGTAAATTCTGTTTCAGTTCCCATCATCAGTATAATCATGTAAAAATAAAATAAAATCTGTATGCACTTCCTTCTTTTAGCCACTTGATGGCACCAGCAGACAAGAATCAAATATACGCTGCAGGAAGGAACCAGAAGAGTCACAACAGTATACAGCATAATTACTGAAACACTTCTTCTTTGGGATAAGAACTATACAGAACACTGTCTGTCTCTTTTTATTCTGGAAGTAGAGAAAGAGGATGATTGGTGACAACGCAGAAGCCTCACTTATTTCGTCCAGATTATATTGGTTATACAATCGCACAATAGAGCTACTTTAGAAATGGACATTTGAAAATCTAATGTTCCATGACTTCCAGAGAAACTCTATCTGCTCACGTGATATGATCAAAATCTCCAGACCAGCAACCAACCGGATCATGTGAGATGTTACCACAACTGGGAAAGAACTTTGAAACGTTGAGTCTTTCACTTGATACATAACAGAGATGCTGACTCTTTAGTGGTTGTGTGATGATATGTGGTATAATTGATTTTTGACAGAAGGGACTTTTGGTTCCAGCATTATTCCTGGTCCCTGGGTCTCGTCATAAAATAACAAAAACTTGCTCTTGTTGTTATCACCCTGTCCACTGGGTGGCAAATGAAGACCTAAAGCACGATTCTTAGAAATTACATGACCACTGGTTGAGTCACAGCTCCAGCAGTGACTGTAACTGTGGGCTTTGTCTCCCTCTGATGCAGCGTTGAGGATAAAAGTTTGGCTGTGTTGGATAAATGTAGGGCAGATGGCCGAGGGCAGCTTCTGACTGATGCTCATTTTTTTATTTCTTGGCTCCCAGGGAGAGATACAGGCTATTGCTTAGAGACAATTGTACTGCCAGAGAATCACCTGATGCTGAGGAGATTTAATATTATGATCCTGAATTAAAATAAATGTACTGCTGGATATGTGTCTCATGAGGTGTCACATGAACTCCTGAATGATAGTCAAAAGGAATACTAGTCTTAACTCAATCGCCTTCATACAAAATATACATGCATTTGTTTTATAATATCAGTGATTTAAGGTTATATAAATCACAAACAGGAACATACAGTCTCTGTCTACGTCAGTGCACACAGCCCTCGAAGTGGACTGTAGTGATATAAGAGGTGACGTCTCCACTAGCTGTCTGGCACCCTGAGCATTTGCATACCGACATCTCATATAACCCTCAGCAAAACATGACTGTACACAGAATACATCTGTTTAAATATAGTCTCCTTTCCAATGGCTACTTGTTTTATCTTTTAATTTTTTACTAGCTTCCCTTGTTATTTTTATTTGTTTCTCTTGTATAACTTGCCTGTAATGAACACTTTTTAAAAGTTTAATCTTTTACCTTTGCTGTATTTTCATTACTTTGCAGTGCATTGAGTTCCCCCGGTGTATGAAATGTTCCAACACAATAATGTAGCCTTGCGTGTGCTTTGAAAAAAGTCACAGTGTGTTCAGGGCAAAGAACATCACCTTTTATTTGTTGAAGTGCAACACTTACATACCTCTTATCACACACAGGAAGCTCAAGGGGTGTTTCTTGTTTGTGAAAAGCCCTAATGGCTCTCAGACCTTGAGCGTGATTGGCTGACTGCCTCTGTTGCTAAGCTACGGCTCTAAGGTACGCGGTGGTAATACTGATGTTAGCTTCACATTAAAGAGGTAAGGGGAAAAAGACGAGCTACAAGAAAAAATGCTATATCATATTTAATAATGGTACTTTGCTGTATGGTGTAAAACATTCACAAGGAGATGCAGTCACTTGATAATACATTTATTTCAATGATATATATATCTTCAAATAAAAAGTTTATACTCCAATCTATTATGTGTGATATACATACAATAATCCAATGCTAACTTCATTTACATATTTGCAAACCTACATGGAACAGGAATAAAGGTTATATACAAAATGTACAATAAAACATACTGTATATCCCACCAGACATGGTCTATAAAATGACCTATAATCCCTCCATGATTACCTGCATACAAATACAATGCAATTTATTCTCATTTCTTAAAAATGTTATACAATTCTCAATCACAAATGGGTGATTTTATAAAGATTCCTTACATGGTGAAATGTTGTGAAAATAGCTTATATCATTTCAACAGGGCAGACACAAATCTTCCTCCCACCTGTGTATTAAACTTTTCTATTGCTATATATTGTTATATATTGATCTACGAGGTCTGTATGTAAAGTGCCCTTTACACATTGTAGCATGAATGTACAGAAATAAATCATTGTTAGTGAATGTACATGTGAGTTTTTCTCTTGGCAAGAGTTTGTGCTTCCCTCATGTAGCTTTGTGAGCTGGAATAGGAGGACAAAGTTTAGTGGGGAACACCAAGCGCTCTCTTCTTTTTGGTCTTCAGCACAAACCCCCCCGAGGGAAAGGTGATGACTTTGTGGTTGGATGTTGAACCCAAGGAAGAATAAAGCCATGTTGTAAGGTTTTTTTTTAGCAATCCTGGGTAGGAGGAAGAATCAGTTTGAGTTCAGGAGCCTTCACTTCCTGCCGTGCCTTCATCCATCACTGATATTTTCACTCTCTTATGTTGAGAGACTTGGCACAGCAACTGGCCATCATGCAGAGTCCAGTGTACTGTATGTGGCAGGCCAGGCTGGCATGGGGAGCAGGGAGGCCCCCCAAAGCTGATACCTCAGGAAGTTTGAGCGGTTTTTTTTAGTTCAAGGATCAATGCGGAAAGCTAGAAGCTTGTCAGAGTGGTGGTTGTTCAGGGTGCGCAGGTCTGGCAGGCGGAGCAGCAACTTTTGGAAGAGGGTGCTATCATCTGGACGGCGACTGGTGATGAGAGAGCGCAGAGCTTTTATTAGATTCTCCTGCAACAGCTCCAGAGCTCCAACCTCCACTATGCCGGATCGATCTGCAGAAAGAGAGGGAGGGCATTGGGGTTAGACACGAGGAAATAGGTGCTTACAGTATGTGCTTTGTTTACAAGTATTAGTGTGCCAGCTTACCGGCAGAAACCAGCACGACAGCCATGAAAAGAGCCATCTCGTCCGGCTCCAGACCCAAAGATGCAAGCTTCTCGCTGAAATCAAACATGGCTTCCAGTAATGGGCCCATGCCCAGAGCCCTCAGTGAAGCCAGTGAGTATGTCTGCCCGTTGAGGAAGGTCACCGTCCTCTGCTTGGGGTCAAACAGTGAGCTGAATCTCACCATCAGAACCTGTGAGAGGAACCAGGCAATGTCAGTCGAAAAAAAGACTCCAAAGGATAGCAAAATAAAATAAACAAATTCTCTAAACAAAACATTATATTTAGCTGCATGTACCTGGAAAGTGCCGGATTTGAGCAGCATGACCTGATCATGCTGGCTGAGAGACTGGAAGCCTGGGATGCTCTTTGCAAACTCCACCACTTCTTTAACAGCAGGGGTGAAGCACTGGGAGAAAGACTCCCACACCTCCTGACTGGAGCGACTGGCCGGAGCCACGGGACAGGAATTAAGGGGACATGCCTGCAGGATAGACAAAGAGAAGAGAGGAAAAATAAGAAGTATGGACTTTCTATTGACATTAAAGTGACA